GCCGGGGCAGCGCCGGCGGGAAGGCGCCCCTTAGCCTCCCGGCGCCATTTTGTTGCGCAGTTCTTACCTTCCCCCGCCCCGCCGCCGTCACTTGGGGAGGGAAGAGGGAGGGAAGCTTTGGGCGGGTTGAGGGTTTTTCCTGCTGCTCTTCCCGAGTCTCTTCGGCCTCTGCAGTGAGAGAAGGAGCCAAGGGGTGGTTTGGCTGAAGCTGGTTTAGGGAGGAGGTTCCTCTGCCTGGATGAGCCCTGTGTGGAGTCAGGCTTTGGGGATAATTCAGGCTGGCTGCAGGGGGTGAGGAAGGGGCCTTTTTTTCAAATCTGCCTGTTCCAGATATGCATGTGCTAGGGCTGCAGAGGTCCTTGCGTGTACTTGCACTGGCTCGTGTAACTCGGCAGGCCGTGTGCTCTCAGGCTGTATCCGCTGTTCTAGCCTTTAGTTGTCCCAGTTTAGATGATTTCTGTTTTTGGATGAATACAGCTTGCTTTTGGCAGGTTTCAGGTGCCTTGTAGTCTGCTGAGAGAGCACTTTTTCCATCATCTTGGCATGCCTCCATATTTTAGCTTCCTTCTGCCTTAAGGTAGAAGCAGGGAGAAAATGAGAATGGATGGCATGGCAGAGCAATAGTGGTTTAGTCTAGGAGTACATGTTGCAGGGGTATATGAGGTGGTTGTGGCTTTAGATACCGAGAAAACATACCTTTTATTTTGGATGGGAATGCTGCATCTTCATGAACAGCCTTTTGGCGTGTTGGAGGTTGAGTTGAACAATACTCAATAGCAAAGGTTGTTCATGGGTTTTCCGAAGTGCTTGGTGACTTTCTCTTTGTCATTTCAAAGCTTTAAAAAATTCTTGTAAGCAAAACTGATGGAGTGAGAGAGAAATATTTGTGTCTCATGTGCATTGATGATCATTCATGCCATTCTCTTGCATCAGTAGTCAATAGTGTTCCTGTAAGACCTACTGTGCATTTTTCTGAGTTTCTAGCTAAAACGTAAGGTAAAATATAAGTAGTGATGTAAATGTAAAATGCAACAATTCAAAGCAAAATGTGACCTTGCTACTCCAGGAATGTGTTCCACCTCCTTCCTTTGGTTTGTTACACTTTTTACAGCCCAATTTGAAAATATATACACCTCTTGGGCAGCAGGACTAAAGTTTTTATTTTTTCATGTAGTTCCTGATAAAACCAGGCAGGTTGTTCAAGTGGTAATGATCATCCCATGAGCTTGCAGAACAGGAGAGCCTGACAGAAAATTAATGCACATCTCTTCCATGGTAGTTCTAAGCAGTCAACGCTGGGACTTTCCAAAGAAGTGGGCGTGAAGGCAGACCTTCTATCCAGGCTCTCATGCGCGCCGAGCAGTGAAAGTAAGGCCATCTCAGTTACAGAACAAGCAAGAACGCTAGCCGGAAAGACCTCTTCCTCTTGCTGCATTATGCTGTATAGCTGTCTCTAGAAGCAGGATGATCTTTAGCTTGACCAAAAGCTTAAAAATAAGAGCCAAACAAAATATTTACAAAATATTTTATCTAAGAGTAACTTCCTTATGAGAAGAAGAAACATTGCTAGGCAAAGTGATATAATGATGACATGTATTTTTCTGATTTTTTTTTTTTATATATAGAGTTTTATCCTAGTTAAAGGAGTTTGGCTGCAGCAACCTGACAGGAGAGTTTATTTAATGGCTTAAATTAAATCCAGTTTCTTCTGGATGGCTTGCCTCATGTGATAGGGAAAACTAAAGGGCTGAGTGTTTCCAGTGCGATGGAAACCAGCAGTTAGTAGCACAAGGTGGCTCACCATGACAAAGATGAGGGAACAGAGAGGGTTAGGGGGCTGTTCAAGGATTTCTCAGTGTCTTTTGACTTTTTATGAAGGTGTTTCAGCAGAACTATGGGAGAGCCTGTGGCCTAACAAAAAGGGGTCACCATGTCGGTGGTAGTTCAAACACAGCAAGTACTCCACTTGCTCTCCCTGCTTTCCACCAAATTCTGTTCCTAAAGGAATTTAAGCAATACATAATTTAATGCAAAGACGAAAAGTAGTTGCTTTCCTAAAGTACTGGAGTCTGTGGGAAGAATGAATCCTGTCTTCCCCCAAGATGTTTTCTTTGCCTTGTGAGTATTTTCTACAATAACTATTAGCAATGCGGACCATCAAGTCCCAAGGAGACAAACAAAGCATGTGCCAATTTGGGTTGAAGCCCATCATCCCTTTCCAAGTTTGGAAATTTGTCTTTTTTCTGATTTCTTACAGATACTCTTGAATGTGTTTTTTTTCATCAAGGCCTTGTATTCAGGGGAAAAGAAGAATAGCCCAGGATACTACATCCATGTACAAAAGAGAGAAAAGAAAGTAACTTTCTTCCCGTAAGTCTGTTCAGCTGTAGTCTGTGACTTGTCAGCACTACATAGGGTCCAGTTTAGATAGAACTGGATGAGACACTTCCAAGGAATGGAATGGGATCTCACTGGTCATTCAGGAATGAATGCTTTTCCTTTTGAATTCATATTGAACCCGTGCTCTGAAGAGTGGGGCTGGTCACAAGCAAGGAAGTATCATTTTCTAGATGAGCAACTAATATCTTAATGGTTTATGGCGTCTAACGATCTTATGGCACTGTTCTCAAAGAAATGGTATTCCCTTGTTGAAACTGCTTTGGGACCAGACACTGTGGATGTTCTGTGAGTCTCTGTTTTCCTTTTCATACTAATTTGTGTTCTGGGTTTTGTTCTTGTCTGAGAAATGGAATGTGTTTTGCTCTTTTTCTTATTCACTATAGCATACTACTGCTTTCTGCTTCCACCTACAAAGAAACTTTTCTGGCCCTTTGGGCCTTTTGTGGTCTATTGGATGCTAATGGATGACATGGATATATCTGCTGCAGAACTTAGCTGTGCGGAGATCTTACGAAGGCTGAGGCTGTTCCAGCCAAACATGATTGAAAGTCACAGAAATTGAGATGGAAAAAAGCTATGAGGTCATGTAGTTCCCACACACGCCCCCAGACCAGTACAGGTTTGTTTCCAGTGCTACATTTTTGGTGCTTTCCAGAAGGGGTCACTGCAGGTCAGTGTTCACTATTTGCATCCAACAGCCTGCCTCCCCTCCCCCTCCTTGAAAAATTAGGAAACCTTCTAAATCTGGTGACAAGTAGGTTGTAAAATGTCTAAAACTATTATTATAACTTGTAATTTGACGTTGGGTGATCAAAAGCAATAGAAGTGTGTTCAGGACGGACAAGTGATCATCCAGGATTTTAAATTAGGAAAGTCACTGAGCTCTTAAAAATGACTTTTTAGCCATGTACATTTATTAAATACCACGAATCCTGAGAACTTTTCTGGGGCTACTCAGTTGTAACAAGAAAGACACAGGTTCACAGATTTATTCTATCGTGTAGTCTGTACTTACAAAAAGAGCATTACAATAACATTTTATAGTTACATAAAAGTTACATATGTGGATGATTCAAAGTAAATTGCTGATTGTATAAAACAAAAGTGACAAAACCTCCTTAAGCCTGAATAAGGGAAGGGAATATCTAGCAATCACATTGCACCACAAATGCAGTTCATCAGCCGTTTGGAGCCACTGCAGTGCAGAAGCATTTCTGTAGATTATGAAGTGTCATGAGTCTGTTAGGGCTCAGATGCTGTTGCAAGGTTCATCTTGTATAGGTGAACCAGGTGGCCTGATAGTAGCGAAACGCTTCTCAGCAAGAAAGGCCTGCGCATTCAACCAACAGCTTACCCCAAATGTCTGTGTTGATGAGGAAGTGACAACCAGCTTATGAAATGGACTTGAGAAGGGGAAGAAAATGATATCGGGACAGCATTTAATAATTTGAGGTGTGGAGGGGGAGGAAAAGGGTTGGAAATGGGAAGAAGGAAATACTGCAAAGAAAGTAGGGAAAAGGGAGAAGAGATGGCACTCTGGTAGGAGAATGAGCAACTCACTTCAAAATAACTTGTTTATATTTTCATTTTTTTTCCCCCCAGTGGACATGGTTATTTTCAAAGTAAAATAACCAAGTAATAATTTCATTACGCTTCTTTCCAAGATTTCAAGCTAAGTGTAAACAAGAGGAACTCAGTGGGGAGTTTAATCCAACTTCCTTTTTCAATAGCACTTCAGCTCTGTTTCACCCCTGCTCCGTATATGTTTCGGCTGATACAGTTCTTATACCCGCTATCTGTGGCATTGCTGACACCAACTGAAATACCTCAGTGAAGGCGTTTGTTAAAAGAAGCCTTTCAGATCACTTAAATTTATTTCTGATACAGAAATGGTAAGTTCTGAGATTTTCAGTGTTTAAAAAAATGGTAATGGCTTTTGACATTTTGGAAATTTTCCGTATGGGCAAGTCAAAATGATGGAAAACAACTGAACCACTTGCACTGAGATTTGATCTCTGGCAATTAATATTTGGGCTGTACGGGAGAATCAGAAGGAACAAAAAGTCTGTAACAATGCCACGGCAATCGGACCGGCAAACTTCCAGTAGCTTTAATTTTTCCAGATGTTAAGTGTGTTTTTTTTCCCAACCCAGGTGAAGGAGGGACTTAAAAAAAAAAAAAAAAAAAAAAAAGACAGTGAAAAACATTGCATTTATAAGGCATAGTTGGCATAAAGGCCGTAATACAATATGTTTAGATACCAGTTTGACTGAAGCACAAGCAATGTTAATTTGCATTAAATGAAGAGAGAAGGATTATTTGGCCTATAAAGCTATGCTTGCGTCTTCAGACGTTTCCACACTGGGTTGTGGCAAATGCTCAGCTTGACTTCAACAGCAGGCGTGCTTGTAAA